CCCGGCACAGGCATCCCGGCACAGGTATCCTGGCAGACCGGCTCCCCTTGCACCACAGGACCTTGGCTGTCCTGGCAGCCCAGCGCTATCCTGCACCCCGGGTCTCCTGGCTACCTCATCTGCCCTCTGCGCCAATACCTCCCTCTGCACCGACATCTCTCTCCGTTGTGTCCCTCCATGCACGGCCACCTGGCGCACGGCCCCTATGCAAATTCCCACCATAATTACACTGAGAGCTATCAAAAAATCTAATTTAATTTCTTTGTGAAAATAAATAGCTAAAGTGGCCCTAGGTACCTGCATAAATACTTCAGCTTTATGTTAGGGCTGTTATTGCTTCTCCCAGCTCGTGTAGTTGTAATGCACACTTAATAAGTACATATTTATTGCACGTCTCATCCTGGTGGAACGGCGAGGGGGTTTTGCTGAGTAAGCAGGAAAACAGCTTAGTCTGTAATAAAAAAAGGGAGGGAGTTAAAAGAAAATATGGAGGATAATTAATTATCGGGCTTTGAACGGCCATAATTTTTTATTAAGCAAATATGCAAATACGGAGTAAGTGGCTGTGTTAGGATTTGAGGGTTTTTTATTTAAGGTTGACAGTTAATCTATAGCGAGGCGTCGCTTTTCCTGCGCGGACACACGCCATCCCGACTGGAAGTGCGTGTTCAGGAATGCTCGCGCGGCGCTGGGCGCGTGTGCAGGGCGCGGAGGTGCATGCACTGCACCGGGCCGCCCCGCCGCAGCGCTCTGCCTCCCTGCCCGAGAGGCTGGGCAGGCTGGCGAGGGAAACGCGGCGCTGCAGCAGGCAGGACACTGCTCTGCCCGTCAGCCTCCTTAGCGCGTGGCTGAGGGACAGCGGGGTGCAAAGGAAGGCAACATCGCGGGGTCCCTGCTGAGCTGCTGCCGTGCTCAGGAAGAGCCCAACAGCTGGAGCTGAACATACCTGCACGAGCGGCCAGGGCGCTGTGCAGGGCGGCTCTGGCACCGCATGCACACACTGCTGCATGCCCTGCACGCACCTGCTTCTGCACGGCTGCAAGCTCCACATGTCCCTGCACGCACCTGCCTCTGCACAGTGGCACGCTCTGCATGGCCCTGCCTGCACACGCTGCTGCACGGCGGCACACTCTGCATGGCCTCACATGCATGCGCTGCTGCACAATCGCATGGCCCTGACCTGGTC